GCTCCGCCTCCTGCGCGCAGCCCGCCGCTCCCTCCCGGGCCCTTCCTGGCGGCTTCCCGGGCCTCCCGCGGGGTGCCCGCCAGGTGGTTCCCGCAGCCTCTCCACCGTCCCCAGCGCAGGAACCACGGACACTCCTTTGAGCTCTCGGGGCACTCGGGCCACCGGGGTGGCCAGAGTTCTCTCGTCTGGTGCGTGAGGAAACCAGAGGTACAGACGGGATAGCGGGACAGGTCGGGATAGAAAAAGGCTAAGGGAGCACCTCGAGCCAAAGGATGTAAAATGAACCGCCCTCTTCCCGCCCTATTAGATCAGGGAACTGATCATCAAATAAACGTCCCTTTGATCCGGATTCATCTGATTCAACATCCCAATTGCTTGGCACATGGCAGGGGTCGTTCAGGGCTGTCAACACCTGTTTCTGAACCATCCTTTAATGCACGGGGTGGGGGCGAGGACTGGGGCATGGATGTTGATGGATGTTGGGGGAAGGGCTGTGTCTGTTCTGTTCCACAAGGAGGCAGAGAAAGTGCTGCTTGTGACGCAGCTCTGTTTTTCACATGCTCTGCTGTTCCCGGTGTGTGTGCCTCTGGTGCATTTCAGACCTTCCCACGGAGAATCTAACTGGACAAGAAAAAGCAAATATTCGAGCCTGAAAAAGAAAGATGCTTCCCGGAAGTTATGACGTCATCCATTGCACGCGTGGGGGACCTGTCTTTATGTGGTGAAGAAAATGGAGCGTTATAATTGGATACAGACTGTGGGTGGCCTATTTCCTTGCAAGTCACCCTAAGTGGAAGGCCTAATTGCTTCTCCATCAAGCGATTTTCCTCGAATTTATTTGCCAAAAAAAAAAAAGAAACCCTCTCAGAGTTTCCCTGCAAAGAAAGGACACATCATATTATTTCATAGGAGGGCAAACACGAATCGAGAATTCCTAGTCCCCTAAGCCTTGTCTGCCACAGCCTTCCACATCCCTGGCGCACGCCTGCACCTGCTCTGTGCTCGCCATCACAGGGAGGCTGGGGCCGGGGAGGGTCACCTCCCTTTCCAGCCTCCATGCTCACTCTTCTAGGGCACAGATCGGGGAGGGGTGAAGTGTACTCCCAGGACTTCCTCCTCAACACAAAGGTCCTAGTTTAGTGCATTTTGGATGTGACTACCAGTGACATAACTATGTCTACAAAAATGGCCCCTGGTCACAATAGACTGAGCCCAGGAAGGCACTAGGGCCAGAGGTCCATTTGGCTACCATGAGGTGTATCCTTAAGACCACAGAACAGCCTCAGCTGGGGTCCCACTGAGTTTCTTCTTCTAGCCCAGATTCCCCATCAGAAATCTAGTGTTTAAGGTGGGAGGAGGGACTTGCCAAGGAGGAGTTAGGCTTGGTTAGTGCATCTTCATTTCAGTCTAAGAAATAAGTGAGATCAGTTTTGGTTCATCCTGTCTGAACTTCAGCCTTAACAGGAACTGGCCACTCCACTGCCACAGGTGGAGGAGCTGTTACTTATAGAAAGTTCTCCGAGGAGAAGCACAGGTATTTATTTGGAAGCACATAACCATAAGCTGCTTGACCCACAGATGGGAAAAGGGCCAGTGAGGGGGAAAAAAGCCCCTCTGTACTGGCCCTAATCTTCAATAAAATACACTTTATTTAGAAATTCACCAAATGCTCCAGATGAGTGAATTTCTGGTCGGGCAGCTGCAGAGGCTCAGTTTTGCCAGGGGGCCGGCATACACTGTGTGCGCTAATGGTAGGAATCGGAGGTGGGGTGGTGGGGTGGGGGTGGGGGTCAAGGATGTCAGGATGGGCCCCAAGATTGACAGTGGGGTTGGAGGTGGGTCTCAGCCAAACTTAGACCTATGGTGTAAGGGGGTCCCAGTGGACATCTGTGTTCTATCACAAATAAACAAGTGAATTTGGAACAAACAGCAAAATCAGCCTGCAGTTTCCTTTTTGTGCTCCTTGAGAACGTCACCCATTTCAGAGCCCTGGACTTTGGTCTTTGAGTGTGTTCATACTTGAAGATGTGTCCAGCATTCCAGAGAGAACACCATCCCCTGCTCACCCATGTTGATCATGTAACACCTCCCTATCCATGGCAGATGGAGTACAGCCTGCCTCCCTGCCTGAGAAGTCACACCCTGGGAGAGAACACACTGTACCTTCAAACATCTCCAACTTTCCCCAGGGTGACTTGTGTTTCCTTATGAATCTTGTAGGACCCCGCTTTGCCTTTTTCTCAATTTCCCCTCCCCCACAGTTGGGTCGGTGTGTCTCAAATTTTGGGGGTGCATAGTATCACCTATTGAAATGCAGGTTCTAATTCAGTAGATCTGGGGCTCTGAGATTGTACCTTGTAACATGCTCCAGGTGAGGCAATGCTGCCAGTCTGTGGACCACGGTTTAAGCCTGACCCTCTAACTCCCAGTTCAATCTGCTCAACCCAGTGTGGCCCTCAGGCTGTCTGCATCGGAGTCCCCTGAGGTGTGTGGGCTCCAATCAGTCAGAATTGAGGGGAAGATGTGACACCTGCAGTTGAATAAAGTCCCAGATGACGCTCATGCAGACAGACTTTGGTGAGCAGCTGCTCCAGGAACAGGAAGACTTACAGCCCGTGGGGAGAGCTGAGGTCTCCACGGCCCATGGGCTTGTGCTGCTGCTGTGTGCACAGCCTCCTTCCTTTGCGTCCCTGGGGTTTTAGCTTGCCGACTCCTGGAAGTAGGAGATGGTCCTTGTGGAATGGCTTTGATAAGTAGCGCTTCAGATCTTGGCATAATGAAGCCCTTGAGGGAACTGACGTCCAAAAGAAAAATCACCCAGGAGAGCACTGGATTGGGGCAGGGTGCCGAGGGCCCCTCACCCGACTTTTGTTTCCTGGAACATCACTTGCGCCTCCAGCACGTGGCACAGAGGAATCACCCAAGCCACTGATGAGGCCATGAGGCTGGTGAACTGTGCAGAGCCGGCAGGCAGGACCCTGGCTGCTAACTCGAGATGCTGCCTTCGGGCAGCACCCAGGCTCCCGGTGAAGGATCGCAGAGTCTCCCGGTAGATCCACCATCCAGCAGGGCCGACAAATGGTGTTTAGCACAGCAGACGCTGCTCCTGCCCCAGCCCCCAGCAGGCGGTGCACTGGCTTCTATGCCTGAAAGTCGTAGGGGACAAATCACGGACAGATCTAATTACATGAGCAGATGGTGTGGTCCCCTTGACACTCACACCTGGTGGTAGCTGAAA